GCAGTTCGACTCCCGTTGAGGGTGTTGATAAGACCAGTTGATGCGAGGTCGAAATTGCAGTCCACTGGTGCCTGGATGACAACAACTTTTGGGAAAGCAAGGCCATGTGAAATTCAATAGAATCGTCCGGTCTGCTCATATCATTGTGGGTAAATTCTACGAAATTGGGTGAATACATCTCATATAATTGATTTACTGGTAGTCTCACATGCGTACAATTCTATTGGGAAAAGTATCACTCGAATGCTTACCTTCTGAGTGTAGACAAGGGAATGGATTTATAATATTAAAGTTAACCATTTTAATGCTGAATATGAATAAGAATGTAGGTAGGAATATGAATGCGTCTGCATACAATAAACATTTTCTCAACTCAAAGGCGAAAATGATTTTGACTGTTGAAATCTCCAAATTGCTGTCACATTTTTTAATAATTTTCATACAACCCGACTTATTAGCCAATTAATGTTAGTTTAGATGAGAAGAGGATTACGCATTATGTGCACTTAATTTTGGATAAGATGAGCCCCTTGTTTCGACTTACTTTCAGATGTGATTTAATACAAAATGTGACAAAATTGTGTAGTCATCTGCTTGTAGGCCGAGTTCCACCCTCAACTACAGGCTAAACCGTGGCATTTTGACTTGTTTTTCTGGGTCTCTTTATGTCCTCTGTCGTCGACACCGAGAGACCCGAAATTGAAAAGTGCCCCCAGCCGAAGTGGCAAATGCAACTGGGCCAAAAGTGTACCGAAGGTGATGGGACAGGAGGTGAAAGTATAGCATTTTATGGAGGCAGACTGTGACAAAGCCCGTTAAGGGTTCGTTGCAAAAGGGAAAGCTGACGTTACGAAAGTGTGGCAGCTTCGAAGGCAACAAAAGCACCCAATCGAAAATTCTTCCTCAACATGTAGCCCATTCGGAGCTGGATGAGTGCCTTTATTTGTATGTGCATCTCTGTGTGTGTGTGTGTATAAGTGGATGGATGTGTTGGTGAACTGGTGTCCGAAAGACTAGAAGATTGGAGTGTTACAATCATTCTCATTGAACGGTGTGAATTAGTCATGTTCTGAGAGGTCTGGTGACAGCCGGAGCGAAAGTGTGTGTATCGAAAATGGAATGTTTTATGTCCACCTGACGGGACGGGACGGGAGCAAGGCCAGGGCAGCGTCGTAAAGCAAACTGTTCGGAAACATAGCAACAATTAAAGGTTAGTTCCAATGCTACTTTGTGCGCTTTGAAAGTCTTTTTTTATCCTTTTTTTCTCAACTTACGCCCAAGGCCTGTGGTGAAACGCTGAGAAGATGGGCTCCTCAATCCTGTCGGAAGAGGGGTCCGTTAAATCCGAAAGGGGGTGGGGGAGGGAAGCAGAAGAATGCCGCTGTTTGGCGCCGCCAGCCGCTTCACGAGGCAGACGAGTCCGAGTCTGCAGTCCATCTCTTTACGACAACGCACCTCACCCAACTCGTCAGAGCCGATCTTGCCCTCACGTGTTCCAGCTCGTGGCCGGGCGTCGTCTGGTGGAGTGGGTCTCGAGGCAACCGCGTCTGTCTGACAACCGATTGGACTGTCCGGCTGCAGGGACCGGCATTCGCGGGACTCGAACAGGCCGTCGCAAAGTGGACGCCGTTCGTCTCCGCTTCAAACGAAAGACGAACTGGCGTGGCGCTTTCAAATCGCCTCAGAAAGAGACGTCTGTCTTGACGTGGCCTTTTCACGACAGCGTCAAGGTCAGTCGGTCATTATCGATCGGCACGAAGGCACACCCTGTCGGTCAGTTAAGGCAGGCCGAAGAGACGCGGCGAGCAATGCGACGACCGGAGCAGTCTGTCCATCCACGACGTTGCAGCCGGCCTCGCGAATTCGGTGATTTTTAAATCCAGCCACGATCGATCGTGCCGCTTGGAACACGCCGGCCTCGCGAATTTGGGGATTTTTAAATCCAGCCACAATCGATCGTGCCGCTTGGAGCACGCCTGCCATCGTCTGCGCGGCAGTTGTAGCCACAAAGCATCTCGAATGCGTCCGCTTGCCTCCGAAACGAGGGCGGTCGTTTCGTAGGCTTAGAACAACTGAAGGCGGCACTAAAATCAAACACGGAGGCACAAAACCTGGAACCACTTGGCCCCAGTTTAGGCAAGATCTCTTCTGTTAAGCAGAATGAACCTGTCCAGAACAATGTTAGCTGAAGAGAATTATGAAAATCGGAAATATACAAAGAAAATTTGGGTTTCGAGAAATCACTTGTTTGATAATTGTTGAACTAACTTCCATTTCGAGTGAAAGTGTTGAGTGAAGAGATTCGTAGGTCGGTTCTACCAGAAGACGACGGCGGTTTCCTCTTGATCAGCTGTCGATTGGCTTTACTGGAACATTCATGCTGAACTTGTTTCCAAGGCAATCTCCCTTGATTCCGGTGAAAAGGTGATAAGCTTTCGTGTGTCGTATGACGAACATCATCAGCACAAGGTATCATCGTCGCGACAATATCCAAGCTTATATTCGTATGAGAGTAGGGTTTCGAGACTACCAGTAAATCAGTGTAATGGGATGTATTCACCCTATTTCGTGTAAGGTAATGAAGGACTGGTAGTAGAATTTTCCCACAATCATATGAGTTGAACTGACGTTTCCATTCAATTTCACTTTTGGGAAAGCAGTGCTATGTGAAATTCAATGGAAACGTCAGCTCAACTCATATCATTGTGGAAAAATTCTACTACCAGTAAGAAAATAAGTCCTACCCTTTCTGGACGTTCTCATCATTAGAGAAGAGGGTAGGTTAGGAAGAGATGTTTATAGGAAACCAACATATG